AGCAGGAATAAAGTCTTCATTTTGAAACTGACCAGCATCTTCTGATATCTTCTCATCAACCTCTTTCTCAAAGGAGGAGTAATATGCTAGATCTGTCACCCACTGCCCTTCTTCATTCTGGTAAACCACACTATGAGTGGCATTGGCATCTTCAAAGACAAGCAACATTATTAACGCATTATACAACTATGTATAAGGTTTGAGTGCCTAGTAGTGCTGAACAATTGTTTCAAAAAAACAAAAAACAAAAAAATCACAATTTAACATAAGGCAATTTCAAATAACAAAAGCTGTGATTTTTGATTTTTTGGATAATGTCTACTAGTCTTCTCCCATTATCTGCTACTAGGTGAGAATAAATAAAGTTCAGTTAATTTATATAGCACTTTTCAAGACAGTTGCAAAGTGCTGCATAATTAAAACAAATAGCCATAATGTATAAGGTTATATGAGCATGCGCACGCCACAAGAATTCACATACAAATGGATGTAAACATATACAGTGGGGCAAATAAGTATTTGGTACACCACCGATTTTCAAAGTTTTCTCACTTACAAAGAATGGACAGATCTGTAATTTTCATCGTAGGTACACCTCAACTGTGTGAGACAGAATCTACAAAAAAATTCCAGTAAATCACACTGTTAGATTTTTTAATTATTTATTTCCATTTTATTGCATGAAATAAGTATTTGATACAATAGAAAAATAGAACTTAATATTTGGTACCAAAACCTTTGTTTACAGTTAGAGGTCAGACGTTTCCTGTAGTTCTTGACCAGGTTTGCACACACTGCAGCAGGGATTTTGGCCCACTCCTCCATACAGGTCTTCTCCAGACCTTTCAGGTTTTGGGGCTGTCGCTGGACAACACGGAGTTTCAGCTTTAAAATAATTATTTAAAAATCTAACAGTGATGTTCTGGATTTTTTTTTGTAGATTCTGTCTCTCACAGTTGAGGTGTACCTACGATGAAAATTACAGATCTGTCCATTCTCTGTAAGTGGGAAAACTTGAAAAATCACTGGTGTATCAAATACTTATTTGCCCCCCTGTATATATTTCCAAACACTCATGCACGTGTGCCCATGCATGACATGCACATATGCGTGCACACAAATGTGTATGTGCAGACAAAAAAATAAATAAAATCTGGATTCATAAAAGTGTGCATACACATGCTCAAACAAACCACTAAGTGTGTGCAGTAAGTGAGGAACAGGATAAGGTCAAACTGATCCCAGTAGTAAGAGAACGCATAAGAATGCTTTCCTGAAAAAAGTTGCACCTGGTCATGTTATAGCCTTGTTATACAGTCTTTTAAATAAAAAGTAAAACTTTATGCCCTCAATCGGGTGTCAATTTTTCCCCAGTGTTGAGCACAATTTTTCCATGTGGTATTGAAAATGGTAGAATATCAATATTTTTCAAGGTATTGTACTGAAGTCAGAAATTCCAGTATTGAGACATCCGTCCCCAGTAGCTACGTTGGTTTGGTCCCACGACTGTCACCCAGTTATCGTACCATTATCAATGTTAAACACTGAGGCGAAGTAACAGTAGAGAATGTTGTTGACACACTTTACATAAATAAGTTTAAAAAACCATCAAGATGTAGCATAGAAAAGAAATTTAAAAGACTTAAATGCATCAAATAGTTAAATTGCTTCTAACAGCAGCAACTATGCAGGCAAAGGATTGAGGACCATAGCTCCCAATGAGTCCAATACCAACACCAGTCACGTTTCACAACATAAGAGGTACTCAGAAGAAAGCTAGTTTGCTAGGTAGTTTATTGAGCAGGGTGATAATTGTATAGCTTAGTTTTCTGCTCTGGGTTCATCAGAAATTCCCATACATTAAAGTTCTGAGAGCATGTGATGAGCTCTGATCTGCAGAATTTTATGAAGAAAAAAAACAAACATGTCTGTACTGTATATACTGCTGTACTGTACAGTTTGAGATCTCTCAGCCAAACAACTGGTTATAAAGGACAGTGGGAGATCACATTAAACTACAATCACAATATTGTTTTAAAATAAAGCTCCAATTCATTTTCCCAAACTGTTCAGCCCTAGTGCCTCTATCAACTAAGTTAAGGTCTGTTGTAAACATTAAACAAAAGGCCTACCTTGTTGAAATTGCACCTCCAGATTATCAGGGCAAATGTTCCACCCATCATCTGAATCTTCTTGTTCCCAGTAGAAGCTCTGGGAGAAATACTTAGGTTCCAGGGAGATGGAAAGAGGATTTTTATCATCCTCACTGGTGCTGCCTGAGGCCTCTGCAGCAATCACATCACCACAGGGACCTCCCCTTAAGTCAAAGGAAGGCCTAGCACCATCAGGTTCATCTGCTCCACTGTCATCATCTTTGTCATCACATTCTGGGAGCAGAACCTATGGGAAGGGAGGTTGACAAGAAGGGGGAAGCTGCCTAACTATTAAAATGTGTGGCATTACTTTCACCTTACTTCTGAAACTCTTAAAAAAATATATAATTTTATGTTCAAGCCACTGAACAAGGAGTTCAAAGTGAAACTGCCATACTGATGAGGTCAAGTGAATACTACAAGTTGTTGGAGATTCCATCTTCAAGCCTACCTTGCCCATGGCTAACATCAGCCAAAACATTATGACCACTGATAGCTTAAAGTGATTAACATTGATGATCTCGTTGTAATGGCATCTCTCAGTGTACGGGGTTTATTAGGCAGCAAGTGAACATTCATTCCTCAAAGTTAATGTGTTGGAACAGTATTTCCCCTATAATAGTACAGGCATGGTAAGCAACCATGCCAATGAGACCCCCGCCATGCCTACACAAAAGGCAAATTTTTACAACTACAACCACTCCTGAGTCTGCTAAATCTTCCTGCAGGTTTTTTGCAGTCAAATGGGGGTTTTGATTTGTCTTTCTGACCAGCATACGAGCAGTTCTGTCCGAGAGTTTTCTTGGGCTTCCAGATCTCATCTTGACCTCCACAGTTCCCCTGATCTGCCATCTCTTAATTACATTTCTTAATGTGGAAACTGCAAGCTGACAACGCTTTGCTATCTTCTTGTACCCTTCTCCTGCATTGTGGGCATCAATAACTTTCATTTTCAGGGTCTTACACAGCTGCTGAGAGGA